CCAGTAAAATAAAATTTTACACAATGAAGACGTAGCTTGGATTGAAAAGCTTATTTTTTATTTCTAAAACTGTTCTGTAGTATTAGGGGGTTTGCAACTTGTTTATAGCAATGTTCTAACATGACCTGGGCTCGTCATGTTAATAAAAGGGCTTTTCTTTACTCTCGCCTCTCATTGCCATCCTCCACTTCTCTTTGCAGAAAGCCGTCATTTTCTCTCTCCCACTCAAACACTCTCGATCCATCTCTCTCACAGCATTGAGCTTTCTTACAAGCAGCGCATAAAAGAACCGTAATTGCAAATGAAATGTTGTTGAATTAATGGAGTTTTCTTCTCAGTACACATTTTCGTCAGAGCTGCAGACGTTTCAGCTCTGGCGTTTCCTGCTTGAGGTTCCTCTCTGTACATCAGCCTCCACTGTCCCTGCACAGACTCATGCAAAGCTCGTGCTCATATTTTCCCGTTAGTTTAATTTTGCCTCTAAAACTTGTTCTGACCTAGTTCTGCTGAGTAAGCTCACTGAAGCATTAGGAAAGAAATGAACCCAATGACATCGAAAGCATATGCAAGCAAGTGCATACTCACTCACTCACTCACTCACTCACTGCTTGCAAGTGCACAAAGCATTAAGTACTCAGAGGGCAGACCATTTGAAGAAAGTAGGTTTGATGCAAAAAGCTTAGTCTGTCTTGGTTTTAGGGATACTTGAAGTAGACAAGATTTTTAAATTACTATTACTTGTAGTATAGGATTGAAATCAGGTTAGACTGAGACAACGTGGTGTTAATGTCGGTTTTTTTCCTTATAGGTTGAATTTTACTCATGAAAATGACTCTCATCCAGAAGGAGAGTCACTAACTAACTCACATTAGAGCTTGAAGTATTTCTAATTCATAATCTGTAGAGTTCTATATGAAGTCGACCCACCCAGTCCACCTGAAAACACCTTCCAGCTCTTCTGGGAAACCTTTCCACAAGGTTTATTAGCGTATTTATGGGAGAGTGATATTTGAGTAGTGCATTTGTGAGGTCAGACACTGCTGTCGGAGGAGAAGGTCTGGCTCAGAGCCGGCGCTGTAATTTAGCCCGCAGATCTTCTAGTTGAAGTCAAGACTTTTTACAGACCGGTCAAGTAGTTCCACACCAAATGTTCGTAGGTATAACTTTATAGACCTTGTTTTGTGCATTGATGCACAATGGAATTATATTTGGGGCGGATACCAAGACATAGGTTCACAAAGTCACAGTCATTGCCAACAGGTACAAAAGAACTGCATTCTATTGCAAATTTGATTAAATTAGCTAAGTTATGCATGGCAATATGCACTAATCCCAATCATTTGTTTCGTTCTGTTCCTGTTTCTGAACTTGCTAAAATGTTGCCACTCCCCTTACAGAGATCACATGCTTCATCAGCTAAGTTGGTCAATGGATATTCCTCCCCCCTGCATAAGTACAAATGCATGCACTGACCTGGCATTCACATGCATGCTCCGATGGGATAGTGGGGTTTGTTGCGCAAACAATTAAAACATGGTTTAAATATGTTTGACAGAGACAAGTAAACAAGAGGCAGAAGGATACACCCTGACATGCCTGTGGCTGTCACGGCTTGACATAGCCTTTTCTATTAATAATTCATGCCCTGGAAACTCGGGGGTGACGTACAGCGAGAGTCGAACCTGTTGGATATCAACTCAAGACAGGATTCATCCAGAGTTTACTCTGATGGAGAAAATACTCTCTATAGAAATGGTTTAAAAACCTACGGTAACTATTTTCACATATTTGTTTCTATTTAGTCTAATTTCTTTAAATATGTAGAAGGCTGAAAATATACATGTTACAATAAATAATTACACTCATCAGAATTTTTTTTAGGTATAGCTGTTCAATTGCTTGTTGACACAAATAGTAAATCAGCCAGTCACATGTCTTCAAGACCTGCAGTTGATAAAGATGATTTGCTGAAGTTCAAATTGGTGAAGAAAGGGAATTAAAGAGAAATTGAAAGTGGCAATGTTGACGGTACCTCACAGGCTGACGATTTCCTGAGACTTTCACGCACAACCAGAATGGCGTCGGCGGTTCTGTAGACAATAACAAATTGGAAAACTTTCATTTGTCTGATGAGTTTTGATTTTAGCTGTGACATTAAGGTGGTATGGCAAGAATCTTTTGTACATATGAAAGCATCCTATTTTGTATTCAGGCTGGTGGTGCAATGGGGAGAAGATATTTTGTTGGCACACTTTGTCTGGTTAGTGCAAGCTAATTACAGTTTAAATGACACAACTTACCTGAGCTCCTGATCATGTTCATCGTTTTTATGACTGCCGTATACTCATCTTTTGATTGTAGCAGGTCAATGCACCAGGTAATGAATCCAAAGTCATTCCAAACTGGTGTCATGAACATATCGGTGTCCCCAATGGCCAGCATAGTTACCAGATTTTATCTATGGCATGAAGAATTAGGGCAGTTTTTGTGCAACATAGGGTTTCAGTTGAGTATGTGGAAAGTTTACCTGAAAAAGTTGCCACTGAGTGTTTATTTTTCTTGACAAAAATGGTTTAACTTTATGAAGATTTGTGTTGATGGCAGGTCTTCAAGGGGTTGCACTTTTAATTAGGCACAAATGTACCTATGTATTAAAACTGGGCTTAGTGACTCAGATTCTTCCCAGACATAGCTTACAGGATTTTACGTCCAACAACCATGACACAGAGGATTTCAAGAGACAATTAGCGTAATGAACTGCTAAAGGCTTGCTTTACCTGCAAATAAGACGCACGGAAAACGGATCCAAACTGGCACAGTGACAACGTGACAAGATCCAGTGAATCAGCCTGACTTAACCCATCTTTTCTGTCCTCCTGTAGTCTGAAATTGGCTTTGGGAAACTTGAGACGTACATCAAACTGGACAAGCTGGGCGAGGTTAGATCAATAATGAAAATGAGTTCAATCGATATTCAGCTCTCAGATTTTAGATTTCACAAATGCACTCGCGCTTTCCATGTGTGCAGGGCACCTACGCCACAGTGTTTAAAGGCCGAAGCAAGCTGACAGACAATTTGGTAGCTCTGAAAGAGATACGCCTGGAGCATGAGGAAGGAGCTCCCTGCACCGCCATAAGAGAAGGTACTGCACTCCAATCAAAACATTCATGCTACCCCTAACATAAACACAATACATGTTAAGAAGAAGAAGAATTGACTTAATTGCTGTAAAAGCGATGTCAGTGTAAGTTCTAATGTCTCATTTTGTTTCTTCTTTTAAGTGTCTCTGCTGAAAGACTTGAAACACGCCAATATTGTCACCCTCCATGACATCATCCACACTGACAAGTGCCTCACTCTGGTGTTTGAGTATCTGGTAGGTACCTGCTAATCTGCACAGAGTGTTTTACGGACAGCGATGTTCATAACCTTAATGCGTCTTCCTGCCACCTTTAACAGGAAAAAGATCTCAAGCAATATATGGATGACTGTGGGAGCATCATGAGTATTCACAACGTCAAGGTAGCTTCCAGGTTTTGCATCCGTTGGGTACATAACAGCATGACTTAAAAAGAAAACCCATTTCTATTACAGAAGGAAGAGCGCTTCCTTTTTTGTCTGAGGAAAAAATGGGTCAAAAATGCTTGCACGGGTTTTCCATTATAATGAGAATCAGGGAACTAATACAGTGAAGTCAATTAAGATTCTTAATTAATGTGATTAAATTGTACTTTAATTATTAATTGCTTCTTGATTACTCCATTGCAGCTATATCTAGTGGTATATATTGTTTTAATGGAAGTATTTTAGGTTACGAAGGGGAGAACAATATCTCCGCTCATACCGCCTATTTTTTTTTGTAACTACATTAAGTCATATATTCCTTTTGCCTCTTTCAGATCTTCTTATTCCAGCTTCTAAGAGGTCTAGCCTACTGCCACAGAAGGAAGGTTCTCCACAGAGACCTCAAACCCCAGAACTTGCTCATCAACGAGAAAGGAGAGCTCAAGTTGGCAGATTTTGGTAAGGCACCATTTAACTGTCTACAAGCAGAATGTGGTCTGCCGCTGTTTGAACTCACTGAACTTTTACTTGTAAAAAAAAAACCCAAAATCCTCAAATAAAGTTTGAGGATTCAACATTTAAATTTGTTGAATTCCCAGACGTAATTACAATGTTTTTACTTAAGAAAAAAAATACTTTTCCCTTGGTTATGTTATGTGGCTGAATGACATAAACTTCCTTTGAATCAGGACAAATAACCCTTTATTAGTACTAATGAAAATGTATTTTGTTGTGTTTCATTGTCACCAGAGTTTGAAGATTAACAATGAGACTATTATTGTGAAACCCACAATTTTTGCTTCTTAAATTGAGACTATTTCTCAGACCTGACAGTCTACTACAGTAGGCTCACCTCCTCCACGTTCAGAATGAACTGGTTGTTAGATATCTGCCCAACACTGCCCCCCTCTGGTAAAACATGGAAGGTGACACACTGACTTAAAATGTGATGAAACTCATCTCCAAACACTTCAAATTTAAAACATATTCATAAGGGTATATAAAGGTCAAGACATTTTTTTGAGCAATATTGTTTTTGTAAGTTGTGAAAATATTTTATGAAAGAAATTGTGTTTCCATTTAGGTTTGGCTCGGGCCAAGTCTGTCCCCACAAAGACGTACTCAAATGAAGTTGTGACGTTATGGTACCGACCCCCAGATGTTCTCCTGGGCTCGACCGAGTACTCCACACCTATTGATATGTGGTGAGAAAACATATCAGCTCAACAAATACTGATATTTACTGTTTGTTTTTAGTCTATTCTTTTTTTCTCTATTGCAGATAAATTTCAAGACTTTAAAAGTTGAAACGTAGTCAGAAGAAGAACATGCTATTGTTTACTTTTCCTTTCTCACGGCGGTGTTATTAGTTTCGCGGTGATAGGTACTGTAAATTGTGGTTCCCTTAAACTAAATTTTTCAAATGATCAGATGTTTTCTGCACATGTAGACATATTTGGTGTCAAAATCTAAGGTTTTATTACCGGTACTCTTCCTGTTGGTGTTCATCTGTGTCTGGTTTATTTTCCCAGAGGCTGCACTGTTGAGACGCATAGTGTTTGCTAATAGACAAAGCGTACAATAGTATCAAAATGTCATGCTCTACAGTTAGCTGCATCATGCAAGATTCATAAGGCTTCGCATTAAAGCCTATTTCTCTCACCTAACACATTAATGCTGACTCATATGTGACGTTCTGTGCGTTTTGCCTTGCGTGCTCTAATTCTTACCTGAACTGTATTTTATCTTACTCTTCCAGGGGTGTTGGCTGCATCTTCTATGAAATGATCACAGGCAGACCTCTGTTCCCTGGATCGACTGTGGAGGATGAACTGCACCTCATATTTCGTATTCTTGGTGGGAAATCCATCAGATCCGGATATTTTTATTTGTTTTGCCTCGTCATTTTATGTTTTTGATTGAGTACGCCCCTTGTTGACTATTAATTTTTCCCTCCAATAGGTACTCCCACAGAAGCGACATGGCCCGGAATAACGACAAGTGAACAGTTTAAAACGTACAGTTTCCCCCGTTACCATGCTGAACCCATTGTCAACCACGCACCCAGGTACTCTGACTAAGACAGCCTGTGTACTTCTTGTTGAAGTTCTTGTGATATGAAAAGATGAAGTATTAGATTTGTTTGAAAGGATTTTTGCCAGATCTAATCAGGAGCTCACGTACCCTCGTCTCACCCTCCGTTTTCTTCTCTCTCTGTCACAGGATAGACAGTGATGGTCTTGACTTGCTGTTAAAGCTCTTACAGGTGAAGTACCTTTCTTTTTATTGATGAAGGTGAGGCAGTCTAAGAAAAGTAAGGATAAATAATTAGCATCCCTGTCTGTTTATCACCAGTTTGAAGCAAAGAATCGTGTGTCAGCTGAGGAGGCACTAAGACACCCGTATTTCAGAACTCTGGGAGAGCACGTTCAATCGTTGCCTGACAGTGAGTGCTAATATTATGAACTGAATATTCAATGGCTTTCAACAAAAACTGTCTCATCACGCTTTTCTGTGTCTTTGTGTTTCTAGCTGCTTCCCTCTTCTCCATAAAAGGCATCCAGCTGCATAAAGATCCAGGGAAGAGGTCCTCACTTCACCCAGAATCAAGTAAGTCCCCGATAACAAACAGAGGAAGGAAAGACCAACATTTAGGACACCTTTGCTTAACTAGGACAACAGGACTTGTTCCCTGTCTCTCTCCTCTTCGCTTTCCTTTTTCTCTGTAAGTGTTGCCTTTCTGTTGTGTGTCATAACACTGTGTGGTCTTGTCACAAAACAGTTCTTCTTCACAAGGTCCATCCTCTAAAACCCTAAATATCAATATTTATCAATCACAAGGAGGCACAAAGTGTATAGTAAGCATTGGCTTTCTGAAATTTTGACTGACTATGAGTAACTGTAAAGGCTTGTTACACAACTTCAGCTGTATTCTCTTCATTAATCTTTCAAACACAGTTTTTGCTATGCACATTAGCAATTCAGTTTTATATGTATGGCATTTTGTAGTCATCTTTAGTTTCTAAATTTGGTTCAAAACCTAGCAAAAACGTAAAACGTCAATAATAGATAACGGTTCCAACATTTTTCTGTCTTTTAGTCTCAGTCTGTGTTTGCGCATTTTGTTTTACCTTTTGCTGTCTTTTTGTCCTGTTCAAGTAAACCGTCTTTTCTCTTTGGTACCCATGCGCTCTTCTTCTGCTCTGCTCATCTTTGCCTTAATCCTTTCTCTAACCTCCCCTGTGTTCCCGCCTTAAACTCCTCCATAACACCTCAATATTCCCAACCTTCCCCGTTCCCTGACCCTTAAAAAAGCAGTGGCCCATAAGCTAGGCTCTGCACCCTCGCAGTACTTCCAGAGAGAGGCAGCCAATCCCAGGGCTCAGAGTCACAATCTCTCCTCCACTTCCACTGGCTGACTGGGCCCTTACAATCTGGTAAATACTGTCTCTTCCTCTCAGACTGTCTTCTATTCACTTATCCTTCTCCTGTTGCTGTTTGGCATTTCTTCTTCTTTCAGCACCTTGTCTTTGTTGCAAACTGACTTTATGTGCACCTTACACCACACTACATTACTGTTTCCCATCACGTTTTGTTCTCTTATTCCATTCTCTGAGATGTTTGTCACCTTGAGGTTTTTCACCGTTTTAATTGTTTTCTTGAAAGAGGTTTTTCTCTGCTGTTTTATATCCCTTCTCTCATCTACTGTATCCTGCCACACTTTTAAGCCCTGAACCTAGAAGCGTCGTCTCAGTTTCCTTTTTCTTAGTGAGCCACTTGGCAGTGCTTATTTTGGGATTCGGTAAAGCTGTGGTATAAAAGGAGTAATCAGAAATCTGGTTATTGCTTGACTGTTTTCATTTGCAGTCCTGTTTAGGTTTCTTCAGCGGGAGAATTAGCATTTTCATGAGTCTGTAAGTTTAGATTTTATGAAGAATGGATTTGTTTTTTGTCTTTATTAGCATGGAAATGTGTGTTTTGATGCTTTATTGTTGCGTTTTGCAAGCGCTGGTAAGTATGGGCAACTGTTAGAGAAACTCTATGACACAAATAACAGAGGAGGTTTTCTTTGCTGTGACTGAACTGCATGTACACTTAGTACAAGGCCTTGCAAAAGTGAGCATACCCATTGAGCTTCTCCACATTTTTTTCACACTAAAACCACACATTTCAAAGTTGTTCTATTGGGATTCTGTATGTGCAACATAAAGCAAAGTCAAAAATGGCTTCTTAGCTTTTATATGATCCAGGTTTTTTTCCCCCCCAAATGATCACCTACCCACCATTAAAAAAAGTTAAGCAAATTCAAGTAGCTAGGTTAAAAACTGATAGAAAGTCTAGTGTTTAGAGGAAGTTGACACTATTACTGTTGTTTTATAACTGAAATGTTTAAAAAAGAAACCAGTTTGTAAGGTACACTTAATCTGAAGAAACCAATCAATATAAGTTACCAATGTTTGTTGACACTATTCTGCATATAAGTTTATTCATTTAGTATTTATGATTTGGATGGCAGCGATTTACTTTTATAGTATAAGATGACTATTTTATTAACCCAGCATTGATAGTTATGCGTTGACTATGTAAGACACTGAAGTAATCCATTTCTAGAAAGTATTTGTAAATAATTCATTCACATATATTTCTTTTTTACCATGTCACTTTATCTTTTTGAAAGACTAAGCTTAATTTTTTTTTTTACCACCTAAACTGAAAAGAGCAAAAAAAAAAAAAAAAAGACTGCTGAGCTGATGTAGCTTTAGGAAAATGGTTCATTCTTACACTCAAATTTGATATTAGCTTATTTTTATATGGGGTTAGTACAGGGTGTCCTATT